GTGATATTTTTATTTGTTTGTTGAAATAATAATCAAAGCCTAGGTAACTTTGTGGATATTTTAAATTCTTACTGGTACTTAATAATTTGAAATATTTATTAAAAATAAATAATCATGTAGTTCATTATACATTTATTAGTTGTGGTATTTGTCAGTTTTAAAGTTCATTTTAAATATTCTATAGTTGCTGATTAAGTAGTGTTTTGGTATTTTCATACTGTAGCTGACCACCAAATGTTGCTGCAGTGTGACTAGATAAAGAAACGTGTCATAATTGTGAGAAAAGTTATAGGGGTTTCTAGAAACCCAGTAATAATTCTCTCTTGCTGTACTTATATTGCATCACTATCTGGGTGATCATATGATCCCTTGATCAGATGAGTATAATAGATAAAGATTTTATTTCTTTGTAAAGGTTACAGTGTGTAATTACAATTTTGTTTTAAAAAGTACAGACAAAGCTACTGTCATTCCGGGGCTGATTACAGGTCTCCCTCAACATTTGCGTTTTCAACTTTCACGGGCTTCACACATTCGCGAATTCCCAACTGTCAAATTCCCAACCGCCAAATTCCCAGCCGCCAAATTCCCAGCCGCCACATCATATTTAAGTTTCCCGCCACCCGCGAATCCCTACTACCCTCCCTCCGACCCCCAAAACTGGCAGCCAGCCCTGTCACCACTCAGTGTGGCGAGTGTTTTGTTTGTTCATTATTTGCTATTAAATTACAGTATAAATAATGTCAACCCATTCATGACTGAATATTGGAATGGCTTTTCGGACAGGTATTGGATGGTGGCATCATATGTTTACTCTTGAACACGACAAAGAACCCAACATTTCTGCTACTGCAGAAAAAAAAATAATAATAATTATATGGGTGTGAAGCATGGGTGATGAATGTTGCAGCGAGGAGAAGGCTGGAGGCAGTGGAGATGTCATGTCTGAGGGCAATGTGTGGTGTGAATATAATGCAGAGGATTCGTAGTTTGAAAGTTAGGAGGAGGTGCGGGATTACCAAAACTGTTGTCCAGAGGGCTGAGGAAGGGTTGTTGAGGTGGTTCGGACATGTAGAGAGAATGGAGCGAAACAGAATGACTTCAAGAGTGTATCAGTCTGTAGTGGAAGGAAGGCGGGGTAGGGGTTCGGCCTAGGAAAGGTTGGAGGGAGGGGGGTAAAGGTGGTTTTGTGTGCGAGGGCTTGGACTTCCAGCGGGCATGCGTGAGCGTGTTTGATAGGAGTGAATGAGACAAATGGTTTTTAATACTTGACGGGCTGTTGGAGTGTGAGCAAAGTAACATTTATGAAGGGATTCAGGGAAACCAGCAGGCCGGACTTGAGTCCTGGAGATGGGAAGTACAGTGCCTGCACTCTGAAGGAGGGGTGTTAATGTTGCAGTTTAAAAACTGTAGTGTAAAGCACCCTTCTGGCAAGACAGTGATGGAGTGAATGATGGTGAAAGTTTTTTTTTTTCAGGCCACCCTGCCTTGGTGGGAATCGGCCAGTGTGTTAATAAATAAATAAAATAATAATAATAATAATACGATAGCATTGAAGGAAATTGTACAAAAATACGAGGGTTGAAGGAGTGGTGGAAGAAGTGGTTGAGGCATCGTCAGTCAGAGTGGCTTTGATTATGCTGGAGTGAGCATTAGTCTCCACGCTCTTCCAAACATTTCACAATAATTCATTGTGTTTGGTGCTTGTAGATTGAGTGTGACTGGAGTGGTAGAGGCAGCAGTTGAGGCAGTGGTTGAGGCAGCAGTTGAGGAAGTGGTTGAGGCAGCGGTTGAGGCAATGATATTTAATAAGATATATGTTAATAATAATAATTATTAATAACATGTATTATTATTATTATTATTAATAACATGTTATTAAAAACCACTCCCTCAACCACTGCCTCAACTGCTTCCTCAACTGCTGCCTCAATCGCTGCCTCAACTGCTACCTCTACCACTGCCTCTACCACAGCCTCTACCACTGCCTCTACCACTGCCTCTACCACTGCCTCTACCACTGCCTCTACCACTGCCTCTACCACTGCCTCTACCACTGCCTCTACCACTGCCTCAACCACTGCCTCAACCACTGCCTCAACCACTGCCTCAACCACTGCCTCAACCACTGCCTCTACCACTCCAGTCACACTCAATCTACAAGCACTAAACTCAATGAATTATTGTGAAATGTTTGGAACAGCACGGAGACTAATGCTCACTCCAGCATAAACAAAGCCACACTGACGATGCATCAACCACTTCTTCCACCACTGCTTCAACTCTCATATTTTTGTACTATTTCCTTCTTCAATTCTATCGTATTAATAATAATAATAATAATACGATAGAATTGAAGAAGGAAATTGTACAAAAATACAAGGGTTGAAGCAGTGGTGGAAGAAGTGGTTGATGCATCGTCAGTCAGTGTGGCTTTGTTTATGCTGGAGTGAGTATTAGTCTCCACACTCTTCCAAACATTTCACAAAAATTCATTGTGTTTGGTGCTTGTAGATTGAGTGCAACTGCTACATATTTAACCATGGGCCCAAAGAAACTTGCTAGTGCCAGCCCTTTGGTAAAGAAATTGAGAAACACAAGATAATTGAAGAAAGAAATTGCATCAAAATACGAGCAGTGCGCTGCAGTGGTTGAGGCAGTGGTGGAGGCACTGGTGGAGGCAGTGGTGGAGGCAGTGGTTGAGGCACTGGTGAAGGCACTGGTGGAGGCAGTGGTATTTAATAACATACATGTTATTAAACCATAACATGTATGTCTTCTTTCAACACACCGGCCGTATCCCACCGAGGCGGGGAACATATATGTATTTAGTACAATATTTTATGACATTTTCATTTTTATTATTATTATCACACTGGCCGATTCCCACCAAGGCAGGGTGGCCCGAAAAAGAAAAACTTTCACCATCATTCACTCCATCACTGTCTTGCCAGAAGGGTGCTTTACACTACAGTTTTTAAACTGCAACATTAACACCCCTCCTTCAGAGTGCAGGCACTGTACTTCCCATCTCCAGGACTCAAGTCCGGCCTGCCGGTTTCCCTGAACCCCTTCATAAATGTTACTTTGCTCACACTCCAACAGCACGTCAAGTATTAAAAACCATTTGTCTCCATTCACTCCTATCAAACACGCTCACACATGCCTGCTGGAAGTCCAAGGCCCTCGCACACAAAACCTCCTTTACCCCCTCTCTCCAAGCTTTCCTAGGCCGACCCCTACCCCGCCTTCCTTCCACTACAGACTGATACACTCTTGAAGTCATTCTTTTTTCGCTCCATTCTCTCTACATGTCCGAACCACCTCAACAACCCTTCCTCAGCCCTCTGGACAACAGTTTTGGTAATCCCGCACCTCCTCCTAACTTCCAAACTACGAATTCTCTGCATTATATTCACACCACACATTGCCCTCAGACATGACATCTCCACTGCCTCCAGCCTTCTCCTCACTGCAACATTCATCACCCATGCTTCACACCCATATATGAGCGTTGGTAAAACTATACTCTCATACATTCCCCTCTTTGCCTCCAAGGACAAAGTTCTTTGTCTCCACAGACTCCTAAGTGTACCACTCACTCTTTTCCCCTCTTCAATTCTATGATTCACCTCATCTTTCATAGACCCATCCGCTGACACGTCCACTCCCAAATATCTGAATACATTCACCTCCTCCATACTCTCTCCCTCCAATCTGATATTCAATCTTTCATCACCTAATCTTTTTGTTATCCTCATAACCTTACTCTTTCCTGTATTCACCTTTAATTTTCTTCTTTTGCACACCCTACCCAAATTCATCCACCAATCTCTGCAACTTCTCTTCAGAATCTCCCAAGAGCACAGTGTCATCAGCAAAGAGCACCTGTGACAACTCCCACTTTGTGTGTGATTCTTTATCTTTTAACTCCACGCCTCTTGCCAAGACCCTCGCATTTACTTCTCTTACAACCCCATCTATAAATATATTAAACAACCACGGTGACATCACACATCCTTGTCTAAGGCCTACTTTTACTGGGAAATAATTTCCCTCTTTCCTACATACTCTAACTTGAGCCTCACTATCCTCGTAAAAACTCTTCACTGCTTTCAGTAACCTACCTCCTACACCATACACTTGCAACATCTGCCACATTGCCCCCCTATCCACCCTGTCATACGCCTTTTCCAAATCCATAAATGCCACAAAGACCTCTTTAGCCTTATCTAAATACTGTTCACTTATATGTTTCACTGTAAACACCTGGTCCACACACCCCCTACCTTTCCTAAAGCCTCCTTGTTCATCTGCTATCCTATTCTCCGTCTTACTCTTAATTCTTTCAATAATAACTCTACCATACACTTTACCAGGTATACTCAGCAGACTTATCCCCCTATAATTTTTGCACTCTCTTTTATCCCCTTTGCCTTTATACAAAGGAACTATGCATGCTCTCTGCCAACCCCTATATTATGATTGTTCATGGTTCAACAAGTTAGGGAACCAGTATTGTATTATATTTCCCTACAATATACGTATTGGGGCACCAAACATTCGCAATTTTTCAACATTCATGAGGCTCTTGATCCCCTAACCCATGCAAATATTGAGGGAGACCTGTACATTGTTTCAGGAAAACCTATGTGAGGAGTGTTAAAAAAGTGAGAGAAGTAATAAACCAGTATTCTCTCTTCATATAAATAATAGAAGACTATTGTGTAATGGAAATAGAGCATGAAGAAAATCATTGGAAAGCTCTAGTGAACATTTGAAATAAATGTTGGTGTGAGTCAAAGGTGTATAGTTTCTAAGGCTTTTTTTTTTTTTCTTTCTTTCTTACTAGTAGGTTCTCGACTTATGATGTTCTACTATTATGACTTATGGAGGGGGGTGGTTACAGGACCCTAGCTGTCCTGCAGGAAAGGACTCTATTATTTGTAATACTAGCTAGGTGCACAGCTGGCTTGATTGTGGCATAAGGATTTATTATT